GGGCTCAAGTCCTTCTGAACTAATTATAGGCAGTAAATACCTAGGGAGATAAAGCCCCATGGGTCACACAAGGCAAATGGTCACAAGAGGGTATGAATTGATATTGGCAGACCTGAACTTGAGAAGCTGGCTTGCATCTCTCCTCTCCACTAAAGAGTCTTTCACTCCTGGAATTTTCATATGGGATGATTTCTTCACCATCAAGCAAAAGCATTCTCCAGTTGGTAACAGGAAAGCCTGAACACCTGTCTGCTTGAATATCAGGTTTAATGATACTTCCTCTTTGCTTTCTAGGTGGTGACAGCAATGAATATAGGCTCTCTCACTTCCCTCTTAATGCTGAGAAGCTAGAATACTTGGGATGATGGGACAAAGGGCTGAAAGCACCTATAATTCAGGCCACTGTCTGTGTTTAAAAAAAAATAAAACTAGTAGTAAACATAGTTAAGTATGTAGCGATAGCGATGTAGGGAGAAAACAGATATGAGTATAGAATTAAGAATTACAGAAATTTGAAATGGCTTCCCCCAAGAGACCACAAAGGATAGTTTGAAGAAAGATTATGGTTATTTACTCCAAATTTAAAAGAAAAGAGAGTGGAGTTTCTCTAAGAAATTTAAGAATCTATAAATGATCCACTAATTGTATTTATTACAATTCAGTAGCAGCATGTCTTTTACCTTGTTGTAGCCTGGAATGAGTCACCATTGTCGTACCTACTTTTCCTCATATTTAAAATTGGAATGGCATTCCTCACAGGGCTGCCATGAGAATGGCATGAACTTATAGAAAAAACCCTTGGTAAATGGAAAGCTACACAGGTAAACTTTTAAATGTAATTTCAAAGGAGATCAGCCTTTGGTTCTCATTTAGAGGTCAACTAAATCACTCATAAAATATAACATTTGTTCTAGAGACTGGAGATTAAACAGGACAGAAAAAATTATGTCCTTGAGTTTCAAAAGTTAATCTACAGTATGAGCATTTTGGTGTTTATTTAAAGTACTTCTACTAGGACCCCACTCCCAGAAATTCTCACTCAGTAGGTGCAGGGTAAGACCCAGAAATATGTATGTCAAATAAGAACTCTGCCTTCCAGTACTTCGGTTAATGCATTTAAGAAACCTTGAATTGGAGCAAATATTTTATCACTGAGTGGCTACTTAATGATTCTTGTCCCTCAATTCCTTAAGGGTAAACAGAATTAAATGATATATTTTGCTCCCTGAGACAAAGCAAACACCATACTTTGAAGAAGAAACAGGTGCCTGAGAAAAATACCACCAATCCTACAGTTTCTTTATTTTGTAGAGCAACAGACATCATGAAGTTTTTATTCCTGTTTACCTGAATGTTCAATATTTGGAAAATGAACATGATCCAGAAGAGATAATAGACAGTTGAAAGGACTCAACTAAAGGACAGAGGTGAGTGAGAAGTGAGGAAATATTTTCTTCAAAGCAAAGTCTTCAATATAAAGATAATTACAATGCACCAGGAGAATTTTTTTGTCAATCGGTCATAAACCTAGTTTTGTAAAGGAGAACAGAAAGGATCAGAAGGAGACCACAGTGGATTGCTTTGATGACTATCATGAAACCAGATGAGGGGTAATAAATTCCTTATTCCTCATGATCATAGCAATTAATTGGGTAGAGATTGATCTGTTTTTACATTTTTTCCCAGAGCAGTGATGTTTTGTTGATCACTCAACAAAATCAAACAGGCAGAATTCTCCAAGAAAGAAAGGGAAATTATAGATTCCTCTGTTAAGATTTCACACCTGTAAGGAGAGGCAGTTGCATCTAAGTAAAAGAAACTGAATTCTTTTTTTTTTTTTTTTTTTTTTTGTGGTATGCGGGCTTCTCACTGTTGTGGCCTCTCCCGCTGCGGAGCACAGGCTCCGGACGCACAGGCTCAGCGGCCATGGCTCACGTGCCCAGCTGCTCCGCAGCACGTGGGATCCTCCCGGACCGGGGCACAAACCCGTGTCCCCTGCATCGGCAGGCGGACTCTCAACCACTGCGCCACCAGGGAAGCCCTGAACTAATTCTTTGACTTTTCCTACATTCTACTCTCTTACTTTGAGCCACCAGGAGATAAATGAAAATGAGATTTTTTTTTTTTCATTCTGAGGCAGGGCAACCCAGGAAGAAAGAGTATGAGGAACAGTAATGAGAGCAAATATCAAAGATAAAGCACTCTTCTGTAATCTTACAGACAGGGAATGTGGTTGGTGATAATCTGAGAAGGCAGCATTATGGAACATGAGTGTGGAGTAGTGACGAAGAGAAACGTAAATACCAGTGTGTGTGGGAGACTTTACTGGTGGGGAAAGTAGTAAGTAGGTGAGCAAGTAGGTGATGGACCAAAGATTAAAGGAGCAACTAGGCATTAAAGAATGAAAGGTGGGGAGGGCTAAGACGGTGATTGCACTGTGATTGGAGAAATGTCATGTTCTGCCCCAAATGCCTTGCCCAAGAGTCAGCTTTGACCACAGCAGAAGTAGCACCACATTTATGTCTTTGAGTATTTCAGATCAAAAAGCAGATCCATCTCAGCAGAGGTTGGGGAGAGGTGTTTAGAAAGCCCCACCACAAACAAAGTGTCATAGGGAGAATGGTGCCAGAATGTCAGAGGGCACCAGGCACCAAGTTAAGAGACACTGTTTTGGGGGAAGTGTGGCATGATAAACTTGACCTATTTTACAATGTTGTGAAGGTCAAGCATATATGTATCAGCCAGTGAGGCAATCATTAGAGTATATACTCCCTGGTGCCTTAAAATCAAACAACATATTCAAGGCTTTGACTGTTCTTCATGTCAATGTTTTCTGAGGTAGAAAGTAAGGGTCTGTACTCACATTACAGCAACATAAGTGTCCTATGTCAAAGAAAGGCGTTGGTGACAGTGGGAATCAGTATCATTATGACTAGCTATAGCTTTGACCAAAGAGCACTCTCTCTCAAGATGGTGTGCTCACAGGCATTGACCCTGCAGAAGCTCTTCACCCATCCCACTGCTCTGTAGACTAACGTTTAATGAAAGGTAAAAAATGAATGATTATAAAAATGCTTAACACACCAATTCTGGGCATATCCTGAAATAATAAAATGATATGTAAAATTACAGGATCTTTTTTCTCATTCAACCCTGTATAGCTGAATTGGCCCTTTTAAAAAACACACAAGAATAATTTCAGAAATTTGCCATGCATCAAACTTTGTAAATAAATTACTTGAAAGTATATCAGTTCAGACATTGCGAATACCATGAATCGGTAATACAGAGAGTATAGTTACATAATCTATATTCTGGGTGATCCATGTTTTTGTCATATGCAGTCTTGTGTACCCTTCCATTTATAGTCTCTCTACATGAGACTGCCACTGTATGTCCGTTTAGAGCATTTATCATCATGGATGCAGATGTGAATAACTAAAATGACTATGTTGAAAGAGGTCTAGAAAACGATTAAAAGCTGTGTGCTGGATACTGTGCCTTCTAGACCACCATTTTGGGTAACTTGAAACAAATCTCTGAGTCTCTATGAGCCTCACTCTCTTCATGCATAAAAGAATAAAGGCAGACTGGGTGATCCCAAGATCACTTCAATCACTGAAAAGTCCATACCTCCATAACATAAATAAATAAATAAAATGAGATTCTAAGAACAAATACTATTTTTGGCACAGAGTCAGGCCAGGGTGTCAGTGGCTTGATATAGTGTGACAATGACATAAATGACACATTATGGTCATATTTTTCAATGTACACCAGCAGAACACATGAATGTGCTGGATAGAGAGGGGGAAATGAGGAAAAAAGAATCAAAGATAACCCCTAGGAACTGGTCCTGTGCAATGGATGAATGGTCCTGAATTTGACTAAAATGAAAAGACTAGGGCTTCCCTGGTGGTGCAGTGGTTGAGAGTCCACCTGCCGATGCAGGGGACACGGGTTCGTGCCTCGGTCCGGGAAGATCCCACATGCCGCGGAGGGGCTGGGCCCATGAGCCATGGCCGCTGAGCCTGCGCGTCTGGAGCCTGTGCTCCGCAACGGGAGAGGCCACAGCGGTGAGAGGCCCGCGTACCGCAAAAATAAAATAAAATAAAATAAAATGAAAAGACTAGAAAAAGGAAAGGTTGGGATGAAGAAATCTAGAGTTATTTTTAAGATATGTTCATTTGAAATACCTTTTACTCAGCTCAAGGAGAAGTTTATGCACAGTTTTGCATAGTCTGTAGTTAGTGGAATTCGTAAGCTAAACCATGGATGTACATATATACACTACTATATATAAAACAGATAACTAATGAGAACCTACTGTACAGCACAGGGAGCTCTACTCAGTGCTCTGTGGTGACCTAGATGGGAAGTGAATCTAAAAAAGAGTGGATACTGTATACATATAACTGATTCACTTTGCTGTACAGCAGAAACTAACACAACACTGTAAAGCAACTATATTCCAATATCAACTAATAAAAAAATTAAATAACATGAAAACAACACGGATGATGTTTAAACCCAAAGAACTTGAATTTAAAGAAATAATACTTATTTCTCTGTTATGAAATATTTTAAAGCCTTGTTGAATAGAATGTTACAATTTAAATTAGTAGAAAACAGCAAGACATAAAATATAATAAACTATTAACACAAAAATAATCAGTGAGGAAGGCAATGTACAAGTTGAACAAGTTCTTTCTCTGACGTGAAATAACAATATAATGTGAGACAACTGATTTTCTCTCTTAGTCTCTTGATGGAGATAATTAAACTTCTTTCCAAACACAGTCCTTGTGATTGGGAACATCATAATCATCTGAGGTGTTAGGTTAAAATAAGTTCTATTTGAACCTGGAAATCAAAATTTGAGGGAGAAAAGGTTGCAGGAGAACTTATCTTTGAAGGGCTTCCCCTGATGTACCACCATCTTTGTGACCCCTCCCCCTTCTCCAGGACTTGGGCCACTTGGCTATAGCAGTGTGCAGTAATTTCTGTGACCAGTGACTCTTTCCTGAGAATAAGAGTGTAGGGAGACAGAAATCAGGTTAAAGCCTATGAAAATTGCAAATGCCTCTTTAACATGTTTGCACTATCTAATGGATCCTGGTTAAAGATGAGTGAGGAAAGGGGTTTGAAGGATTAAATCCATTGTTTGTAGCACTTCATAATATCTTGTTATGTTTTCCTTCTGTTATTTAATTGTTTACAACAAAGCATAGGCATGGATAAAAGAAATAAACCCCAGGAGCTGATTTCATCCTCCTAGGCCTTTTCCTGGATATGAAACATATCAGATTTTTTATTGGTGCTATGCTTGTGATTTACACTGTGTCTCTGACTTTGAACTTTGTCCTAATTCTCCTGATCTGTGTGGATTCTCACCTCCACATGCCCATGTACTTCCTGCTCAGCCAACTGGCTCTCATGGACATGATGTTAATCTCTAGCACAGTACCCAAGATGGCAACCAATTTCTTCTCCGGGAGGAGAAACATATCACGAGTGGCCTGTGGGACTCAGATCTTCTTCTTCCTGACTCTAGGAATTGCTGAGTGCATCCTCATCACCCTCATGTCCTATGACCGGTATGTGGCCATCTGTAACCCTCTGAGATACGCCCTCATCATGAGCCAGAAGGTCTGTCTGCAGATGGCTGCCACCTCCTGGGCTGGGGGCGCCCTTACATCACTCACACACACGGCCTACACCATGCATTTCCCCATCTGTGGTTCCAGAGAGATTTCCCATTTCCTCTGTGAGGTCATGGCCATTCTAAAATTGGCCTGTGAAGACGTCTCTGCCTATGAGAAGGCTGTGATAGTGACAAGCATTGTGGTGCTCCTTATCCCCTTGTCCCTTATCATGTTCTCTTATGCTCTCATCTTCCTTGCCATCCTCCACATGAAATCCCCGGAGGGAAGGGACAAAGCCTTAGCCACTTGCTCTTCCCACTTGACTGTAGTGTGCCTCTATTATGGCCCTGCCATGGTGGTCTACATGAGGCCTAGTTCCTATCGTAATCCTAAGCTGGACCAGGTCCTCCTTGTACTTGGCCCTATTCTCACACCTTTGCTAAATCCTCTGATTTATGGTCTTAGGAACAAAGAAGTGGTGGGGGCCCTAAGGAAGGTGCTGAGTTGATGACACTGATGTCAACTTAAAAGAAGAAGGTACACCCACCTCTAATCACTAACTTTAATTCAGCCTAAATAAGTTAGACTCCTATGTCAAGAGTTCTGACTTTTCAAGTTATTCATTCACTAAACAAATATGTAATGAGGGTCTCCTATGTGTCATATACCATTTTATGTACTTTTGGTATCTTCTTTAGAATTGCTTTAGAATCCTGGTGGAATTTCTCAGGGTTGTTTTTTTTCTATTTTTAATTGGCATCACTTGTACTTGCCTTCTTTGAAACATCCTTACAATATTAAGTTTCTACCCTAAATCTGTGAACTTCCAGATTAGGAAACTGATGATAAAATTCCACAGAAAATTGCTGGAAAATTGGATCAAAGATAGAACTTTATATCCCTGAGAATCATATAGGTCTCATTCAACCCCTGAAAGAAGCACATCTTGACATAAACCCAGAAATGTTATATGCTTGACTTCTTCATCTTCCAAAACATGCACGCATCCATCCACATACAAAAATGGCCATATATAAACTACTCCTGATGCAGACCACTTTGCATTTCCAAAAGCTTTAATTAAGTTTATTCAAAAGTTGAGCTGTAACACTGTAACAGAGCAAAGAGTAGAATAAAGATAGCCAAGATTACAGATTTTGATCATAATTACAAGGCAACTGAGCATAAACCAGTGGATGGAATGTTTTCACTATTTAGCTCAATCAAATAGTTAATTTGAATGCAATTAACTCATTTAAATAAGTAAAATGATAATATTCCAATGCATCTCAATACTATAATTATTTAGAGGGCCATGAAGCCAATTAAGAAGAAAAGGAAATGCAATTTAAACAAGAATGTGCAGTGGCCTAATGAATTAAAAGTTGTGTGTATAACTCAAGTCTAATGTAGGAAACGAGAACTAACTGCAAGTCAGAAATATCTTGAGGATACGTGGATGAAACTCCTTGATCTACCGAGTGGATAAGCAGAGTAATCAATATCTGAATGCTTAAGACTTGCGAAAGTTAACAACTGAATAAAAGAGAAGTATGATGTGCCAAATGAGATCAAAGACTCAGAGTATTTTATGGTATAAAAATACAAGTCTCTTTAATGATGATTGTATGGACTATGCAAAGACCTGTTGATAGAGAAAGGATCAAATCATCTTAGTCCCTGAGCTATGGCTTACAAATCAGTTCTTGCCATTTGTTGTTTTTCCCTTGCTGCTTTTAATATGTTTTCTTTGTATTTAATTTTTGATAGTTTGATTAATATGTGTCTTGGCATGTCTCTCCTTGGATTTATCCTGTATGGGACTCTCTGTGCTTCCTGGACTTGATTAACTATTTCCTTTCCCATATTAGAGAAGTTTTCAACTATAATCTCTTCAAATATTTTCTCAGTCCCTTTCTTTTTCTCTTCTTCTTCTGGGACCCCTATAATTCGAATGTTGGTGCGTTTAATGTTGTCCCAGAGGTCTCTGAGACTGTCCTCAGTTCTTTTCATTCCTTTTTCTTTATTCTGCTCTGCAGTCGTTATTTCCACTATTTTATCTTCCAGGTCAATTATCCGTTCTTCTGCCTCAGTTATTCTGCTATTGATCCCTTCTAGAGTATTTTTTATTTCATTTATTGTGTTGTTCATCGTTGCTTGTTTCTTCTTTAGTTCTTCTAGGTCCTTGTTAAATGTTTCTTGCATTTTCTCTATTCTATTTCCAAGATTTTGGATCATCTTTACTATCATTATTCTGAATTCTTTTTCAGGTAGACTGCCTATTTCCTCTGCATTTGTTAGGTCTGGTGGGTTTTTATCTTGCTCCTTCATCTGCTGTGTGTTTTTCTGTATTCTCATTTTGCTTATCTTACTGTGTTTGGGGTCTCCTTTTTGCAGGCTGCAGGTTCATAGTTCCTGTTGTTTTTGGTGTCTGTCCCTAGTGGCTAAGGTTGGTTCAGTGGGTTGTGTAGGTTTCCTGGTGGAGGGGACTAGTGCCTGTGTTCTGGTGGATGAGGCTGGATCTTGTCTTTCTGGTGAGCAGGTCCACGTCTGGTGGTGTGTTTTGGGGTGTCTGTTGCCTTATTATGATTTTAGGCAGCCTCTCTGCTAATGGGTGGGGTTGTGTTCCTGTCTTGCTAGTTGTTTGGCATAGGGTGTCCAGCACTGTAGCTTGCTGGTCGTTGAGTGGAGCTGGGTCTTAGTGTTGAGATGGAGATCTCTGGGAGATTTTCGCCGTTTGATATTATGTGGAGCTGGGAGGTCTCTTGTGGACCAGTGTCCTGAAGTTGGCTCTCCCACCTCAGTGGCACAGCCCTGACTCCTTGCTGGAGCACCAAGAGCCTGTCCTCCACACGGCTCAGAATAAAAGGGAGAAAAAATAGAAAGAAAGAAAGAAAGAGGATAAAATAAAGATAAAATAAAATAAAGTTATTAAAATAAAAAAGAATTATTAAGAAAAAAATTGTTTAAAGTAAAAGAAAAAAACCCCCAGACGGTCAGAACCCTAGGACAAATGGTGAAAGCAAAGCTAAACAGACAAAAATCTCACACAGAAGCATACACATACACACTCACAGAAAGAGGAAAAGGGGAAAAAATAATATATATTGCTCCCAAAGTCCACCTCCTCAACTTGGGATGATTCGTTGTCTATTCAGGTATTCCACAGATGCAGGGTACATCAAGTTGATTGTGGAGATTTAATCCGCTGCTCCTGAGGCTGCTGGGAGAGATTTCCCTTTTTCTTCTTTGTTCACACAGCTCCCAGGGTTCAGCTTTGGATTTGGCCCCACCTCTGCACGTAGGTCGCCTGAGGGCGTCTGTTCTTCGCTCAGACAGGACTGGGTTAAAGGAGCAGCTGATTCGGGAGCTCTGGCTCTCTCAGGCTGGGGGGAGGGAGGGGTACGGAGTGCGGGGCGATCCTGCGGCGGCAGAGGCCGCCGTGATGTTGCACCAGCCTGAGGTGCGCCGTGCGTTCTCCCGGGGAAGTTGTCCCTGGATCCCCGGACCCTGGCAGTGGTGGGCTGCACAGGCTCCCGGGAGGGGCGGTGTGGAGAGTGACCTGTGCTCGCACACAGGCTTTTTGGTGGCGGCAGCAGCAGCCTTAGCGTCCCACGCCCGTCTCTGGGGTCCGCGCTTTTAGCCGTGGCTCGCGCCCGTCTCGGGAGCTCCTTTAAGCAGCACTCTTAATCCCCTCTCCTCGCGCACCAGGAAACAAAGAGGCAAGAAAAAGTCTCTTGCCCCTTCGGCAGGTCCAGACTTTTTCCTGGACTCCCTCCCGGCTAGCCGTGGTGCACTAACCCCTTCAGGCTGTGTTCACGCTGCCAACCTCAGTCCTCTCCCGCCATCGACCGAAGCCGGAGCCTCAGCTCCCAGCCCCGCCCGCCCCGGCCGCTGAGCAGACAAGCCTCTCGGGCTGGTGAGTGCTGGTCGGCACCGATCCTCTGTGTGGGAATCTCTCCGCTTTGCCTTCCGCACCCCTGTTGCTGCGCTCTCCTCCGTGGCTCTGAAGCTTCCCCCTCTGCCACCCACAGTCTCCGCCCATGAAGGGGCTTCTAGTGTGTGGAAACCTTTCCTCCTTCACAGCTCCCTCCCACTGGTGCAGTTCCTGTCCCTATTCTTTTGTCTTTGTTTATTCTATTTTCTTTTGCCCTACCCAGGTACGTGGGGAGTTTCTTGCCTTTTGGGAGGTCTGAGGTCTTCTGCCAGCGATCAGTGGGTGTTCTATAGGAGCAGTTCCACGTGTAGATGTATTTCTGATGTATCTGTGGGGAGGAAGCTGATCTCCGCGTCTTACTCTTCCGCCATCTTCTCCAGCCTCCTCACAAATCAGTTCTTGTATGCCAGAGGAATTTAACACTCGACACCTCAGTAAAGACATTACACAATATCAAGAAGAACAGAGTCCATGGCATGTGCAGAGGTAGCCTCTCTGCCACAACTTTGAAGATGCCACCAAATCAGTACTCATCAAAATGAAACCTTCTAAAAGGTCCATGTCAGCATTTTGGTGGCAAAAACTTTCTCAAGCCATGCCTCAGATTTACTGAATAAAACTCTGTAGTTGCCAAGTTCCAATGTGATCCATATTCCCCACAAACTTTGAAAAGCACTGATCTAATCCCATTCTTCTCCATCCCCAATTCCACTGTCTTAGTTCAGAATTTCATCCCCTCTCCCTTTATTATTTTAATAGCTTCATTACTGGTATTCATGCCTCAGTCTCTTCCCATTCCATACACTATCCACAAAGTTGCCAGAAGTGAGTTTTCAGCCAGGACAGTGTGTTCCTTCCATTTCCATATTAAAAAAAAATGATAATGCCTATCTTATATTCAAACTCTTTAGCATGGTAAATTATCTAACTGAAATCCAGACTTAACCCTGACTACTTTCTTCCATTCTTTTCATATATTCATACTTCAACTCCATAGACTCATCTCCTTTTCCTTCTCACAGTACTACTTCCACTTGAGTGGAAGTCAACTTTCTTGCCCAAAATGACCTTCTCACCTGCCCTAACCTTTTATTTATGATGTGAACACAGAGCTCGGAGAAAAATTAATTTGGGTTTAATCTTGGCTTGCCAGAGGTGTAGTGTTGGACAATGTACTTATGCCTCTGTGTCCTCATATACAGAACTGGAATTAGTAATACCTGTCAGGGACCTAAGGAAATTACATGTCAATAAATACCTGGCCAGTAGCAGTCATTCAATATCTCTCATTTTCTTCAATTCCTGATTCAAATATCATCTACTTGGACCCTCAATAAAGTTAATCCCTTCCTCTCTCCCTTTCCTCTACACTTGTTCCCAGAGGTTTAAATCTCTAACTCTGCATTTAAGATTGTGGTATGGCTGTGGCTTCTTTGTCCTGCTAGTGACTGATGGCCTCTCCACTTACGACTGTGCCTACTTGGAATCACCCTTACCTCCAGGTAGAGTGTTATGCACAGCACAGGGATGACTCAGTATTCCCTGCATCATACTGTGATCAGGACCCAAGCATCACACAAAAGCATACATTGCATAATTCAGTGTCATTAAGGACATTCATGAGGTTGGTGATCTATTTTTTTT